AGCTAGGCGTGGTGGTGTGTGCCTATAGTCCCAGATACTTCTGAGGCCGAGGCAGGAGAATCACTTGAACCTGGGAGGCGGCAGTTGCAGTGAGCTGAGATGCCGCCACTGCACTCCAGCCTGGGTGACAGACCAAGACTCAAAATAAAAAAAAAAAAAAAAAAAAAAGCCATTTAAATTTCCATTTTGAAATAATCACACAGAGTACAATCAAGCCAGCAGCCTCTGTGCTAACCCCCTTCCAAAGCAGAAGGCCCCTCAGGAACAGATGAGGCTAGCATCGGGGGTGCCTCCTGGACTCAGGGAGCAACCAGCGAGAAGGAGAGGAGGAACACTGCCAGAGAAAGAAAGGGTGGCAGAAGGCCCAAAGGCTTTTGTATTACCAAGTACTTATCTATGAAGCTATCATTTTTGCCATACATTCCTTAAGTGACCGCATATTTAGGCCAGAAACAGCAACTCAATACCTGCACCGTATCACACTGAAACAAACACACTTGACTTGTCCACTTAACCAATTCTAGCTCAAGCGCTGGGGAAGCAATAGCATGCGGGAGGCAGCTAATGCAGTAATTCCTGGAATGAGGAGAAAGAAAACTCGCTAACGGGCACATCTTGAGTGTCCTACCCGTCCTGTGGCTCTCCCATAGATGGTTTCATCATCTAGCTTACGAGTCACATCAAAATGGCCCGTCTGTCCCTCACCAGCCCCTGGATGCAGGCCTCGTGGGACAGAGCCCTCCGTGGACTGAGCCAGAGACCGGAGCCAGCACAGGCCAGAGTGACAGGTGCTCCCTGCAGGTTAATCAGATTTGTGTCTTCCTAGAGGGCTGTCCCAAAACAGCCACCTGCAGGGGGTCACCAAGAGAGGGTGTTAGGAAGGCACAGTCACCAGCAGGAGAGGGCGTTAGGAAGGCACAGGCAGGGTCAGAGTCCAAAGAACAAACTTCCCGTAACTGCTGATTGTAACAGTCACAAGAAAAGCTTTGGCGGGGCGGGGACCGCTGGTGTTTGCCAGGCAGATGGTGCTAATGGCCTGCCCTCTGGGGCAGGGTGCACGATCCCCATGAAATGAATGGCTGACTGGCTGGTTACCTCCTCATGGACGCCGGAAACGTTCTCTCACGTACCTGAAGATGCTCACAAGCAGCTGCAGGGTGGTCTGCTGTATCTGGCAGTTGAGTTTCTGCTGCCAGGCCCGCCGGTGGGCTTGGGCCTCGTTCAGGTCTGTGCTGGAGAGGAGGTGGGCGGCATGCAGCTCGTGGTGGAGCTGGAGGCTCTGCACCCTGGAAGGAGGCAGACCGAAGCTGGCTCAGCCCCAGCGCCACGGCCACGCGCCCAACCAGCGGGCACCGCGCCCGCCATGTAAATGGAATACACTTCGCAGGCTTCAAATACTGACAATAATTTGCAGGGGGGGTGATCGTTAAAAGTACATCACTGGGCCGGGCGCAGTGGCTTCACCTGTAATCCCAACACTTTGGGAGGCCGAGGGGGTGGATCACCTGAGTCAGGAGTTCAGAGCCGCTGGCCAATGTGGTGAAACCCCGTCTCTACTAAAAATACAAATTAGGCCAGGGGGGTGGTGGAGCCTGTAATTCCAGCTTACTCGGAGGCTGAGGCGGGAAAATCGCTTGACCTGGAGGTGGAGGTTGCATGAGCCGAGATCGTGCCCACTGCACTCCAGCCTGGTGGACAGGAGGGAAACTCTGTCTAAAAAAAAAGAAAACAGAAAAGTACATAACTGGAAGAGGTGGGTTCACCTCCACACAAAACGTGATCTCACATGGCCTCAAACCTTGGACTCCGCACACTTCACCCAGGCCAGATCATTCCCATCCTGCCACTGTAGTGAGGGCACTCCCCCTTCTAGGACACCAAAGGCTTCCAGGTAAGGCTGCCTCTTGACGGGTCACTCAGGGCTGCCTAGAAGGGACAGTCACGGCTCCCCCATGGCTTCCCCTCTGTACTTCCTGCCCAGGCAGGATCAGATGCCCCTCTGTGCCCTGCAACAAACGTCCTGAGTGTCACCACTCTTGGCCCACCAGGACATGGCCACAGGCTCACCCCAGAGGGCCTCACTCAGGGACAGGAACTCACAGATATCTGTCAATCCTGAGTCACCATGAGATTGGACCCCTGGCCTTCCCAACACCACTCAAGGCTGCATGTCTAGAGGGACGTTAGAAATATACAAAATAAACAGAACCAACGCATATCTGGTCACACATATTTCTTGAGGACCTACTATATCCTACTTTTGCCATACACTGATCTGTGTGCTGGGGAAGGGTGGTGGACACAGGCCAAGCCCCTGCCTGCATGGCACTTTCATGTGAGTGGGAGGAAGTAGGAAAAGAGACAAATCAAGAAAACAGGAGATAATGGGGACATCAGGCAGAGACGCACGTCAGAGCGATGGGCTAGAGAGACATGATGGTCAGACTGAGCGGGTGGAGAAGAGTTCTCCCAGGAGATGACCTAGAACCAGAGATGTGACAGGAAGATGCAGACGGGGGACCTGATGGACCCAGTGCGGCCCAGCATGGTGGCCGGGGTGGGGGAGGGTGTGGGCCGGGTCAGCATGGCTGGCAGGAGCCAATCTTCTCTGTGATGGGAAGGGCGCATTGGCCACAGGCCCCTGCCGCTGCCTGATCCTCCTGGAGACAGGGACAGAAAAAGGGAAGAACAGGATTCTGGGTGGAGTGGCCCACCAGGGGAGTGGCAGGCAGGCGGCGCCACAGCCAGGGTTCTCTCCAAACATGCTGAGGGGCCAGCCCAGCCCTGGCTGACCAGACTCACAGGACTCGGGCAACTACCCCTGCCTAGAGGAGTCTCAAGAACTGCGATGTTTACCAGCATTAAACTGGCCTTTCATCTGGAAGAACACGTAGAATGCCAGGGAAAGAAATTTTGATGACTTCCCTCATGTAAAAAGGGCTATGATGCCACCTGGAGTGGCAGCTTCTCTTTCTGCATCTTCTGGTGCAGGGACAGTGGGGTCTGAAGGAGATGGCCATCCCCTCCCCCAGGATCCCGTGCCTCCCTCACCCAAGCACGCAGCCAGCACAGCCCTGAGCTGGGGACCCTGCCCCTGCTGCCCAGGGAGAGAGTGACTTCCATCAGAGACGAAGACAGCAGTGCAGAGAGTGACCAAGAACCAGGGGTGCTGGGGAAAGCTGGGGAAGAAGGGGGCTGCCCTGTCCCTCCCAGTCACATGCCTAGGTGCAGAGAGATGCACATTGCACTCCGGAGCCCCCTGAGGACGCCCCCCGACACACACCGCAGCCCACAGCCGGTATTATGAGCTCAGAGGCCTCTTATAGACAGGTCACCTATGGCACATGGATTAGCTCGTGTTTATAAAATAGTCTCCAAAAATGAGACTGTGGGAGACACAACATCCTGCATCCCCATTCTGGGGGATCTAGCCAAAGCGGGGTCCAGCCTCCGCACCGTGTGCGTTCCTATTCCGGAATTCTAACAAGACGACGAGGACACAGGCGGAATCCCACCTTCCTGGAAATGCTCAGAGCTCCACCACAGTCTCACAAAGCTCAGTTCTGTTTCAGAATGCCACACTCTAAAAGTCAAGGAAGCAGCTGTGGCTTACCAGAAAGCAACTGAGATTGGGAAAGCATGTGTCTCCTTCAAAGTTCACGCAGACGACAGTTGCCAACAGAACGGCTGCTCAGGTGCCCCTGGCTGGGGAGGAGAGCCAGCAATTCCACAGCCCAAGCAAACAGAAACAAACCTTGCCTGTGCGAGACCATTGCTTGGCTTTAAGGCCTTAGGGAATTTTTTAAGATGCAAGAACAATAATAAAGGTAGTTCTCCGGCCGGGTGTGGTAGCTCACACCTGTAATCTGAGCACTTTGGGAGACCCAGGCAGGTGGATCACCCGAGGTCAGAAGTTCGAGACCAGCCTCGCCAACATGGTGAAACCCCGTCTCTACTAAAAATACAAAAATTAGTCAGGCATGGTGGCGGGTGCCTGTAATCCCGGCTACTAGGGAGGCTGAGGCAGAAGAATCACTTGAACCTGGAAGGCAGAGGTTGCAGAGAGCCGAGATCATGCCACTGCACCCCAGCCTGGGTGACAGAGCAAGACTCCATCTCCAAAAAAAAAAAAAAAGGCAGTTCTCCTAAACATTTTACAGAAAACTTCCAGGTAGAAGGAATAATCCACACCAAGGTAAGAGTCAGAAATCAGAAAAGCCAGGTAAAAGGCCAGGCCAGAAACCCCCTCCTCCTTCCCACTCCTCCCAACGCAAAGACAAAGGAAGGCGGAGAGAAGACAGGTGACTGCAGACCCACATCCAGACTGCATCACAGGCTTCACCAGGAGCAAGTACAGCCTGGCTGTCTGCAAGCCTCAGCGCTCTGCTCCCTCCAGCATCACCTCCACGACCCGCACTCGGGGCCTGACTGCAGTCAGATCCCACAGGCTGTGAGGACGCAAGAGCAGGATCTCTCCTGCTATCATTTTATAAAATGCTGAAGGGAAAAATGAGCTCCACAGAGCAACCTCGAGGGAGCCCTGGCACCGAAGCTGAGTCACTGCTTGGGGCACACCCAAGACGACCCAACACCTCCGTCCTGACATCATTAGCAACTACACCCCCTCTCACCCTCCCCTGACCAAATCCCTGCCAAGCCTCTCCACCTCGACAGAGACCTCAGGGCCCCCAAAGCCTGAAATATTATTTGACCCTTGTTGGAAAAAGTTTGCTGACGCCTGATCTAAGCCAATGAGGTTGAGTAACAGAGATGAAAGAAAACATAAACTATAAAACACTATGAAAAAATTAAGTTCCAGGCCAGCCACGGTGGTTCACGCCTGTAATCCAGCACTTTGGGAGGCCAAGGTAGGCAGATCACGAGGTCAGGAGTTCAAGACCAGCCTGGCCAACATAGTGAAACTCTATCTCAACTAAAAATACAAAAAATTAGCCAGGCATGGAGGTGCAATCCCAGCTACTTGGGAGGCTGAGGCAGGAGAATTGCTTGAACCCGGGAGGC